ACCTGGTTGTGGCTATCAGAGGGATCCAGGACGCACGTGTCATTCTATTTGAAACCCATCAGCTGGATGCACATGCATCCCAGTGAGTGCTTTTGTTTCGACTAGGACTCGAACCTGGTATCCATCTCTTCAAACGCCAAAGCGTTATCAGCTAAGCCACGGAGACACGACAGCCACCTCTCTTACAACTATTTATCGACATGCATGTAATTTTTCTGTTGTTCCACTAAACCGAATTGTCCAATCTCTGTTGGCATATTGACTTCTATGCGGATGCCACAACTAATTTAACTGTATAATAAATATTTAAGCAATGTCATGGCATCCACATAGGTGCCCATATACTAACAGAGGTCGAACAGTTCTGTCCAGCATAACAACGTTCAATTACAAGTATATCAACAAATAGTGGTAACAACCGGGGTTGAAAGAAAACCTTGGTCGTCACAGGATTCTAACAACAGCCTATGGATAATGTGTTTAAACACAGTAACAACTAAGCCATGAAATGCAGTAGGTAACCTGATCATAAGGTCACCTCAACTACTAAATGTCATGCGAAGTAAAAAATCATGACCGTCCTTTATTGGTGACAACAGCTGTCAATTCAGACTTCCTCATCTCTCTAGACTACAGGAAAGTGGTCGAGTAATTGACTAAGAATCAGGCTATCTGCCAACTTCAGTCGTTATCAGTTAATGTGTATATATGTTCATGTATGTTATTCTGAAACTAGAAAAAAGAAAGGAAATCTTTGATATCATAGCTTGAGAATCTCTGTCGTTGACTGGACTGAATTGATCGGTTAGGACTGGCATATGGCGTCGTGTGTCTTATTATTGTCGGTATTACTAAGTTTGACACTAATCATGGATAGTGGTTGGCAGTGGAATCCAGCACGCGCATTTCGTCTCATTTGGGACTCGTTAACTGGATATACCTGCCTCTCAGTGAGTGGTGTTGTTTTCATTAAGTCTCAAATAAAGGAAACGCTGCAAATATCTAATCACTTTTATGTGTAATCATGTCTTATGAGGATGTAAAAACTACGCTATCGCATGAGGAATATAGTTAGATACTGTCCATTACATTATTCAAGTGGAATTAGAATCACTTTAACTGACAATGGTTCACTTCCAATGTGATTCATCGAACAGGCTTCTTTTCAATGAGTTCTAATCTTCATGTAGAAAAAATTATATTTCTTTGATAGTTGAGAGAAAGCAGTAAATAAATTAGTACGAATATAACATGAACATTTGTCATATGACGAAAGAATATATCTACAAAAACAACTGGATTATATCACTATAGATGAATATAGGTGATTTTGTTGTGAAACACTGGCTAAAACATCGACTCTATTAAATCATGCTTCTCTAACCAGATAGGCTTTTTAATGCTTTAAATTCCCATGTTGTATTTGTAATTCACATAAGCAGACTAATTTTTTTTTTACTGTTAACGTTGTAAATGATGAAATGAAGAATTTTAAACGAAAAAAAGTATCTGAGTATTAAAATATTCTACAAATACCTATAGTTTTATAATTACTTTAATTATAATAATCGAAACCCGACTGAACGAAAGAAAAATTATGCAAATAAGAGAAAAATGAAAAGACAATTTTTTTCAGTAAAAGAAATATCATGCAATGTCTTGTAGTACTGAAGCTACGTATAGACATTAGTTTTTTCAGCGAAATGTACTCCCGTAGATAGGTAGATCAAACAACACAGAACAAGACAGTGAATGTTTTAGTTCAGGTTTTCATATATCTCAATAGTAAATAAACAACGGAAAGTCAGCAGAACTAGAAAGATAATACAGTGAACTGGATGTGAGACATGGAATAAAAATGGTGAGAAGAAAGAGTGGTCATGTATTCAAGACTTAAATGAAGATAAACAATGACTACATCTGCATTTATTTGATGAATTTCAAACAATGATTACAATGACATTTAAACTGGTGAGATATCATACAAGAAGTTGGCGGTTATTCATTTTAGATCAACCTACCGGCATACAAGTAATCATACTACCGATGATTGACAATGTGCAAGTAACTTGTATGACTATTCAACTCTTGTTCGTAATCACCTTTCGATTAACTGTTAATGTGTACTCAGTACTGTTAGAATACTTCAATTGATCCCCTTCCATTTTTTACTTCTGCAAGGCTTGACAAAGTGTAAGCCTGCTGCTTTCATAAGTCCAACTTTGTTACATGATAGGTGTCCTGAGTAGATTTTCTATGACGGTTGTTAATACTTAGCTTAGGAAGCAAACTACTTCCCTTGATTTTAGATGGTTATAGACAGTCAGCAGAAAGCACTGGACCTAGATTTCATACTTGTTAACACTCGCCAGCAAGGCTTTTTTTCTACCTCTTGAAGTTGTTGGCCTCTAATGACACCGGAATGCAGGTTGTTTGCTCTGTATTTTATCAGTCATTTACAGGCAGCCTTCACCTGACCACTATATTCGAAAGCAGGTTGTATTCAGACTAGTTTTTACTTGATCGTTATATTCCAGAAAGACTCCATCCCCTCTACCGTTAATTTCTTATTGTTGTTTAGTTTTTCTACCAACTTTCATTCCTTTTTTATTCATTTAGTTGAATATTTACCTTTTATTTTTCATATGATCAGTGAAATTCGTGAAGCATATTCCACTATATATGAACTGTTTGCCAGATAGCGAACAATGAACTTTGAATGCCATAAGTGCCAAAAGCAGTTAAGTCATAAGACTTTCAATGTAACCACTAAACTAGATGAAATCCCAGAATACTCACTCTACTTCAAACAAAAGCCCTTTAGATGAATTCTAAAATTCAAATATCATATTCCATTATTAATTGCAAAGATAACATTGTGATTTGATTTCATCCTTTGGTTACCTCCTTTGTTATTACTTGTTTAACAATAAATTTGGGTGATTAACTTTCTTTGAAGATAAATCTGCACAGTTTGTATTGTTCATAGTGGAACAAAACACACCGAAACATTACCAAGTGATCAGTGGAACTGCAACTGAAAGCTTTTACAATGGAATGTAGTTTATCAAAGACTTGGAAAAAACTCCTATAAAGACTTATACTCAATAGAGAAATATGTCAAATCCGAAACTGAATTTGTCACACAGAAATGGGATGTTACAGACAGGAAAAATACTGTATGAGTATCACATTAACATTCAGTTATACATCTTCATTCAAGTATATACAGTCTCTTTGATTATTTCAGATAAGCAACAGAGAAAGTTAAGATTATCGAATTCGATCGTCATTGGTTATGTATACCCACTTCATAAAATGTTAGTATTATCTAACTTCACACATCAGTATATCAAACAACACAATTACTCAAACGAATGTTTTAACAATAAATTGATGACTTTCAGGACAGAACTGAAAGATGTTATTTTGACAAAAGCAACTCCGGATATCCATATGTTCTCAATACAGCTAGTCTACATTTGCATGATATATGCTGTTCACTGACAAAAAATCACTCGATTTCGGTCAGCTGTGTTCATTAGCCAGATTGAAGTGACCTAAATACCAAACGATCATATCACTTATTTATAACCTATCCCATACTAAAGCTGGCCAGCTACTTGAACAGACTACTATTTTCCGGACACAAAATCAATTTAGAACTTCGTAGAGAAGTGCTTAAATCCTAGCTACTGTAACTGTCAATAATAGCACAGAAAGAATAATAAATGATACCGAATAAAATAAGATATTGGTTAAGAAATAACTTCCACAGAAAACCTAACACCAAATCACTTCCAAAATATTAGCAGTATAATCTCCAAGTTACAGGTAACATAGAAGGCGAAGAGCACTAATGGAGTGTCATTGGCCTTGAGACAATACGCATGTTAGGTAAATTATACTAACAATAAATCATGACACTTTAAGAAATAATAATAATAAAATTTAACTACTTAACAATAGTCAGTAGCAGAATTCTAGTACTGACTATTCATTTCATTGATCGATTTCTGAACACGACTCATCCCAGGTCAAAGGTGCAAGGTGACTCCATTCGAGATATATTTTTTAATCAACAGTACATATGCTAAGGAAATTTATGTTCCTCTTCCACAATATTTACTGTATACCATATCAAATAAACTACTCCAATGTGGAGCTAAACTCTACCGCAGGGTCAAACTTCCATATGTATATTACTTGTGTCCCAGTGTTATCATTACTTTTAGTGTATAATCATCACACTCACTTCCACTTATATGAAAGTAAAACTGCCTAAATAAATATTATATCCAGGAAGATTCAGTGGTTACGGGGAACCTTACTACTGACCGAATATTTTATTCCATCAAAACTGAGATCAATTGAAAAATGAAGAAATTCCACTGATCCGAATCTGCAAGCGCAGATTTCGAAAAAAACTCAAAATCTATAAGATTTGCAAGTTATACAATCTCTCAAGATCTCAGATCATTGGTTTCAGCCATGATATCAGATGGATAATTTTGATTAGGAACTAGAAACTTTCAGAAGAAACAACCATTGATATATATATATATATATATATATATATATATATATATATATATATATATATCCGAGAATTATTTGCTAGGATTTTAGTCGAGTAATAATTTACTTAGTGTTTATTAATTAAAAACTTGGAAATACTGAGACTATGCTCAGAAATATCTGGTCGTTCCTTTTTTATGACGAATGTTTAGTCAACGCGAGGTGAGATTTTCTGTAGGCATTTTTCTTGAGCATAATTTTACCAACAATCTAGGATTTTGTCACTACTAGCATGCAACTTATAATCACTTTCTATAAATAGACATTCAGATTTTTAATTACCGTGTGTCCAGTTGAAACCTAAAGCAACTCAACTTGATCCTACAAGCTCCAGTTAATCTACAAGCTTTATTCAGTAGAGATTTACTTCATACAACACGTTTGTTTACTCTCACGTTTTCACTAAGATGCGTTTTTCGAGGGTTATTTTCATGAAATATTTCGGCAAATGGTCCAAGTCTTGATGCATCAAAAAGGTTGAACGCCACTCTTTTGAATTCACTCTCTGTATATGGTAGCTAAATGATTCAGATAGTATATCAATGCATGCAAATATCTGTAATTTGAACTAGTATGAAAAATTGATATTTTGGCTCCTAAAAACCAGGTGTTGAGATTCAGTTTTACGTCTTGGTAAAGCTGAAATGAAATAAGCCTTCCTTTTCATAAAATACAGGTCTTGTGAAGTCGCCAAGTAGTTAAATATCATGTTTTCTCAGAAATGTGAAGGTAATGCAACAAGTTGTTGAACCACAGAAGAATCCAACAATCTGGAAATGACGATGGTGGACAACGAAAATAGTGAGGAATACATAAATTTCAGAACTTAACTTGTTCTTTTGACAATTCGCTGCCATTTCGAAACTGACTACTGCGAACAATAAAATCAGCCTGAAAGCGAAAAATCAAGCACTCATTCAAATAATACTTAATGAAAGGCTTATCCTGGGGTTCACAACTCAAAATAGTCACATGAAATAGAAATGAAGGCAAACATAAGAGGCGAGTCATAAATAGATACCTAATTTTTCATCTTACTATTCGAAGTTTTCAGGCAACTCTACAAAACTCAACATGTCACTGGGGTTGAATTCAAAAAGTCTCACTTGAAAATGTGTAAGGGTGGAAAAGAAGGTATGACTTTTGGATAAAAACTTACCCATAGTACATCATAACGTGAATGTTGATTGTTGGCCAGACTCTCTCGTGTTGTTCGATAATCCTGTATGGAATGAGCTTTTTCGAGCAAAGATAAACGTTCAACAAACAGCAGTGGGATGCTATATGCTACACACTAGAACTGAGTAACCTAGATACTAAACAGTGCTGACGTAAAATGAAATCAATCACTAGGGTAGCCTCCATCTATGAGGGTGACTCTGAGCTCGGCTAAGGACGCCGAAAAATTCCACTGGTTCTCACACACATTGGCAATCGATCAGTTATTCAGTATAAAGGTTAGACTAGATCAGAATTCGTCGATGAAAAAGACATCCCAGGAAGCTCCCCATCTGAAAAAACCCATAAACATAGTTATACACGGAAAACCGGAAATAACGACCGGCAACCCATGAGAAAAATATGCTCATGATGTCTAACGATGGCATTGGTTACTATCATGGATGGAGTTGAACAGAATCGCAGCAGCAGTGATCTATAAACTCCAACGTCCCCGACACCCAAAAACTATCGCTTCACCTAGATTGATAGTTAGCTCTCTCTAATACCAAGGGCTCCTAACAAGAGTGCTCCAGACATAGTATGATGTTAGGAACACTATCGCGAGGATGTTCCCTTTATGAAAACAAACCCCAGAAACCGCTACAAAAGCGAACGACAGTTCTTCTTCGTGCTCAGCTCACCATAGGTCTACACCAACATGATGAGGAACAGATTGACTGACCAACTTAACAATGAATACAGGAATCATCCTAGGAGAAAATGTGACCGAACCGATCCCACTGAAAATGGCCAAACAGTAACGATTCTTTTCACTGCTGCAAGTAACCCTCCATCATCAGCCACTATAGAACCGTCCCATGTCGTGAGAGGGACAGCAGTGTGAGGGAACTTGGAGACAAGATGGCGGAGCTAATATCCATCTATTAACACTTTGCTCTGAAAAATGTAATCATGACAAAAACATAGTTATCGCCCGATATTAGTGGCACTGAAGCGATCATAGATGGCATGCGCTGGTTCAGGAGGGACAGGAAATACAAGAAGAGAGGTGAAGTAGCAATATACGTGAATAACCGATTCGAAAGTGATAGGGCGACTGACACCGTGTTGACAGAGTGCCCAGACTCAGTCTGATTGCATTTCATGGTCAGACACACTAATTATCTCTTAAGAGTCCATTGACCCTCTACTAGCAACGTTGGATAGAATCAACAGCTACTCCAAGTAAAAACCAGTGTCGACCAAGGGGTACGACCAGATTATCATGAAGAGAGCTTTTAATGTCCTAACTCTTGCCTTCGGACAAAGTAGCATGACTTACAGCCGGAAGTTCCATGGAAACCTGCTAAATGTCATCAAAAGGGCTGCGGTGTACAAAACGGCAGGCAATGACACTCGCTGGAGGTAGGGCGGAAATCCATCAAGACTGGATTATCTTATACTCAGTGATCATTTACTGGTAGAACTATTCAGGCTTAAACTCCTTTCGGTAGTAGCAATAATCCCATGATATTGTTCGATCTGTTAATTAGCGAATCACTATCGTAGGTGGAACCTCGCCCTCGTCTTTATTAGAGTAGGTCAAGATGCGTGGCAGCAAACCAGTGTCTTTCGATAGTTCCATGGCCTTGGCAGTGACGTTTTGTGCATACTGACCATCACTGGAAACGAGTAAGGGAGATCGGTAAGAAGGCGGGCGGTTTCTGAAGATGCCCTTGATGGCAATAAAACCTAAAGATTGAACCTCATGACTGAAAAGAAGTAGTGAGCTCCTCTTGAAAGCTAGGAAGAAAGCATGACACGAACACAAGAGAAAGTTACTAGTATATATATATATATATATATATATATATATATATATATATATATTACTAGGAATCGATGCAACATCACAGTGTGGAGGGATAAGCCATTCCAGACAAACCTAGTCCAGAAATTTGAGGGAAACGCCAAGAACCGACACCAGTTCATTGTGAGAAAATCTCTCGATCAAGAAGGAAGCGCTTTAAAAGGCTCAAGAGGAGAAAATTCTCCCTTGATTGAAGGGTGCTTAAAGTCTTAGTGCCAACTCTCATACAGCTCAAAAACCCATCATCGAACCACACGTGCCAACAGCGTCCAACGTTACCTAATTTGGAAGAGTTAACTAGTTTATAGATAATTCCCTCTATGGTGCTTGAAAGCTGTCTGTAGAGGGAACTCTCAAGGATGTGACACCTTTGCCCGTTTATATTGAAACAGTTTGCGAGTATCCCGTAACCTTTTAGCACTTTTCAGACAAACATAAGCTCCTTCGGAAGATGAAACATGCTACTCTCTCTTCTATCTTTAAAAGAAGAGACATACAGAACCTAAAGCGTTACTGACCTGCAGCACTTCTATGAGTGTTGTCAAAAATAATGTGAAGGTAACTAGGTGACCACATCAGGAAATTCTTCGACAGTAAGAGAGCACTCCGTTTTGTTAAACATGGCTTCCGAAAGGTAGGTAATGCTTCTCGAACTTTTCGGCAGCCTGTTACAACCAAACAGGGTGTTGAAACCTCCAGGTTCTTACTCATATGATTTCTCTGAACCTCGTCAAGTACTTCAACACAGTTTTACGTGAAACGTTTACGCCCAAAATAGCAAGATTGGGTGTCAGCAACCACTTGTTATTCTAACTAGGGAACCATTTAGACAGTAAGGGACTCTTTACAAAAGTCAATATAGCTTACTCAACTCAGAGGGTATCATCATATACAGTATCCATCGCTGTTCTTGCTTTTCTGGAATAATCTGCCAGCAAGTTTCAGTTTTTTCAGTCTACTTCAAACTGACGATATTAACTTATGGAGAACTGAAACATTTGAAAAGGAATGAAACCACTACAAGGCGGCCACAGAATGCTGCATGAGCGGCTGTAAAACAATGAACTGTCATTTGACCTAGATTAATACAAGACCATGTTTTCGCAAACTCCTGACTCACACACAGTATCCTACTTTACCTGTGCTATGCACCTTTTTCTAATTACCATAAAGAAAGATATGGGAATAATACAGATCGACACACTAAGTACTCCTTCATAGTATCCAAGAGAAGCCTCCAGGGTTAAAGCAGTATTGAACCTTGTGCGTAGACAGCTAAGTGCCTTCACCCAGAGCTCTTTCTGAAGATCTAAAAGACCCATATGCGGACGCACTTTAGGTAAACAACGTCTTTTTATTACCACATCTGAAGAGAAAATGGTCCCCTATAGAAGGTTCAGAAGCCAGCCACAAAAGGTTATGGGTATGCAGCGGAAAACACACACGGATAGGCTTAATAACCTAAATCTTTACCGCTTTGGTTACCGTAGATTACATGGTTACTTGCCGAATGATCACTACGGCGATCCTCAGGAAAACCCAAAAACTAGACCATCAAAGGGCAAAACCAGCGTGCATTCACGGTTCTCTCTTTGAGTTTACAGCCAGTGTAACAACTGCTGCGGAAGCCACCATTCCATCCATCGAAAGCCTCAAAAAAGGTCTTGGACTTGGAAAAGCAGAATATGATTGTATGACTAAAGCGATGATATGACAGTCATGATTACTGCTTGAAGCAAACAAAATAACATGCTACGCAGGATCATTGATAGCTCAAAACAAATTGAGTAAATGATCCCAAGATTTATTTAAAGCAAAACAAATTTCCAAATATTATGCAAACACGCATAATCTTGCGCCAGTACTAAGGTTAATGTGTATGAAAATGCCTCAAGGCCAGAGTACTTTTCCTCTGACAGCAAATATGCACTTTAATCGAGTGAGGCTAAAAGTCATCTCCAAGTGTCCTAGTAGTGGTCTTAAGTTATAGCATTCTTTGTGAAAGTGCACGTATTTTCTGTGTTCTCTGTGCACATTGTACTAATCCATGAAGTGCCTTCAGGTACCGATTAGTCTCCCATACTTTTTATTCATACTATTTCGATCACAGCACGGTTTTCGCAGGAATTTCTCTTGCTTGATGTCATTTCCATTGACTTTAGTAAGGCGTTCGACAAAATACCTCATTCCATGTTGGTTGGGAAACCTGTAAGTTTTGGAATCACTGGCAGTCTGCTCGAATTGATAAGAGACTTTCTTGCCGGTAGGAGACAAATAGTTAGGATCAATTCTCAACTCTACACTTGGAAGTCGGTAGAGTGGACTGCCGCAAGGCACAGTCCCAGGCCCCCTGCTGTTTCCCCCATATGTAAATGAGCTGACAAATATCACGAAATCCCCTACAGTTCTGTACGCTGTTGATGTAAAATTCTGGCCGGAAATTAGGAACGAGAAGGATATACGTGTGCCTCAGACAGACCTGAACAGCTTGTTTACCTGATCAGAGAAATGCCTGATGCCTATCAATGCAAGTAAATGCGTGAGCATGCACTTAGGGCACACATAGCAAACACCTACGATACTCATGGGACTCCTCTACCGTCAGTGCTGACCCACAATGACCTAGGATTCACAGTGAGTTATGGCTTGAAAACCACGGCTCACTGTCAGCTGGTAGCAGTTCGGAGTTTTAGAATTCTCTGGGTATCACGTAGAACGTTTACGAAAATAAGTGGTGACATGTTCACCACTTTATACAAATCCTTAGTTAGGTCCAAATTAGAAAACTGTACAAAGGCGGCTAATCCTTGTCTAAAAAGTGATGCATACCTTCTAGAAAGAGTTCAGGGGGCAGCCACTCACCTATGAAGACCGACTTAAGGAGCTGAATCTTTCCACTTTGTCCTATCGTAGACAGAGGGGAGACTTAATCATGCTATTCAGGATTTTAAGAAATGACTTCGAACCTGATCTACTTTCTTTCTCTTTCCACTAGGTCGGAACAATTCAGAAGACATAGTAGGAGATTACAAAAGCAAAGAACAAACATATTCACCAAAGAGTACTGGTTCTTACGTTGAGGAATCAACGCCTGGAACCCACTCCCAGAAGAAGTGGTGTCTGCATCCTCAATGGACTAGTTAAGAAGGGGCTTGGACAAGCACACAAATCTACTGGAGAAGCATTAACATAGTCTTCCAGCCTCCTATCCTCAAACAACAAATCTGAATTAGTTGCACTTCCACTTCTTGGGTGGAAAATAATTATAGGTATTGATAAAGAATGATGCTCACAAATCAAGTTAAGTTATTTGAAGCTTCAGATTTCAGCTAAATGAACCTATGTTTGCACTTTTTACTGCAAAATATACGCATACAGAACAAAGAAAACATGCATTTTAACACAGAGCACTCATGAAGCACCAATGAAGATAGTGACTGAATACGTGTGACCAAACCACCTCAGTGGTTGTAATGATGGATCACAACCTCATGATTATTTTGTCTTGATGCTCTAGCCCCATACGCTAAAATTCAATAGGCAAAATATGCATACAGGACATAGAAAATACGTATTTTCATACTGAACGGTGTGCAACCTGGGGATGATTTCCAGCCTCACTCATGTTGTGGAATGAACAAATTTGAAAAAACACACATCCACAATGTAAATAAGACTTAAATTTTTGGCTACAGACCAAGGGCAGGTAGTGTAAGTCTCTACAAGAAATTATTTTCCGGCCTTAGATTTAGCACTGAGTCCGAATTACTGGGCTTCTATCTGGAACCAATGTCTTAATCTAGGCCCTGACTCCTAGTGTATCCCAACTTTTGGCCACAGACGCGTCGTATTTAGTGCCGATTGGTGTGATAACCTCATTATGGCTTAATATTGCCCATACGGAATAAATATTCAGTCTGACCGAGAGTGACTTCGGAACAGACCTCAGTGGACACTAATCATACAAAACAAAGAATGCAAATATAAGCACAATTGTTATGATAATGTCACTCGAACATACCAAGAGTAAGTTAATATTGCTGGAAATAATTTTTATTTTACTTATCTTGGTTGGTTGAACAAGTGATACAACGAGCATTTGTGGAAACATCCCAGTAGTGATCCAGAAGGAGCTGTCTCGCTTTTCTAGCACACTTTCAGGTGGATTATTCTCATCAAAGGATGTTGCAAAACTAATAAAGCATTCACCTTGGCACTGTAAGAAGTCCAACATTTTTCAAAGTAAGCGGTGTTTCCGTTATTATGGTAATAGAAATGAGAAAACAACTGGGTCTCAAATAAAACCTCGTGGATAATTCCATTTCGGTTTGAAAAAGATTCCTAATTCATAACTTATAAGCTGAAATCTGTATTCAAAAGTCAGCGCATTTCACCAGGGTTGTGTTACAATAAGTGGTTTGTGAAAAAGATTCAGGGGCATCATAATATTTCAAATAAAACCAGAAGTGAACCGTCAAGTAATACCAACTTGCTTGTCTGCTTAGCAATTTCGATGCAGAAAAATTAGTTGAAAAAGGAAAATAAATGCATATTATTACATTTCATCAGTGGTGTCCATAATCCTTGTATATTTGTTGGCTCAAGCAAGCTTTAGTGACGGGTGGCCTTCCAGACGACGAATTCGGCTGGGGATACTGGAGCGGAAGTTACTCATTATGCCCGTCTACAATGCTGCCGCCTCCCCACAAACGTTTGGTGAATTACGTCGAAAATTATACTATCGGTTACTTGCGAAGAGTCGGATTGTTTGCGAGAAATTCCAATTATGAATTTGGCGTCTGAATGGGATAGTATTATCTTTCGTTGTAATATTCGCTACAAGAAGAAATCCTTGATAATAAAATCGTGTTTCTAAGATCTCATCTTAGTGTGCAACGAACCATGTTATTGGTACTACATCGGGTCGCTAGAACGCCTGCAATACCAGCTAGGGCTCTGACTGATGTCAGTGAAGTCTCATCAGTGCAGTAATGTCAGCACTGCAGAAAAATTCGCTCTCAAACAATCTGCGGTTGGGGTGTGAAGTTTTTGGAGTAGGCAATGTGATGTAGGCAGATAAATATCCGGAAATATAAGTATAGCCAAGGAAGACGTCCCAAACAGGACTGGATGTTATATACGTATATACTGATGAGTTGCACATTCTCAACACTGATGACAGAAGCACAAACAGAAGACAAATTCAGTGGACAAAGGATGGATCAAAAGATTCTATCCTACCAGCTAAAGAAAAATGGGTCGCATCTGCTTCCACGGTATACAGTGACGCCTGAAGTTACACGTGCCATAATTTAGTATGAGTTTCTCCTATCAGTCTTTTTTCATAAAAGCAGTTCGTCAGCACAAAGAATGCTGGAAACACGTGTGATCGTCTCGAAAGGTGTCTGAGACCCCTCACAAGATCACGGGGTGATTACTTAGGGTCCTATGTGGACGAGCGGCAATTTGGACGCTAGTATGGCTTCAGAGGCAAAGCCCTTCACATTCTTATTTCTCATGTGCAGCAGACCTATGAATTGCAAGCAGACTACCATTTTTCTTAATAACCACTTAGTAACATATAATCTGCACTATGATTGGTCAGTGGACACTTGCACGTGATTCATCATCACTAAAGATTACTTGAACCATCCATCCATCTCGCTTCAATATTTTTTGTGGGTGACATTTGCACTTTGCTAGGCGGTAAATTACGCAGACGACCACTGAAATATCTCGGGAGTTGTGTGTATACTCATGGTGTTGTTTACCAGCTGAACGGGGTAGTAACTGTCGAAGACCGCTCCTGAGAGTTTAGTTCCCTTCACTGTTCAGCTACATCTTGTCAACTTCCTATACACAGAATATTTATCGCCTGTGTGCATTATATTTTCTTGTACCTGGAAAAGGAAGTAACAGTTGGTTTCTGAGCTTATGTATCCAAGTTATCACACGACCCCACTGTTGATCTAGATAATTCATTTCTTGTGGGCTCAAAAAAAGCACTTCATATTATCGAAACTTAACGTTTCAGTCCTTCTTCAATCGCTTCTATGCTCATGATTTGACAAGGCAAAAGTACTTCCTCATTGATCCATGTGGTTGGATGGCGGTTAATCATATTTGCGCACTTCCGGATGAAATATCTCCTCCGCACCAGCGAAAGTACACACATCCGCAAGACGACTGGAAATTAGGGAGGTATCATAAGACCCACGAAAACGGTGAATCTACCCTGTCGTTAAGTTATAGAGGATGTGTTCCCCTTTAAAGACCCAAAAGAAGCCTTCCATTTTGTGAACTGCAACTGGCTTTGCAGACGAATACAATAAAGAGACTTTACCCCTTCATTCGAAGAAGATGGAGCGCTGAGATTTGTTACGCTCATGCATATGTTACCGTTGGAGAGACAAAAAAGGGAGACATAGACAACCCTGTGGACAAAAAAGTCGTCAATATGCACCCGAAGTGCAAACTATCTGCATATCCTCCAACAAACTTCCTGGACAGTCAAGTTTCCCCTTTCGCAAGGCAAGCACAATGCAAGTTTTATCTCCTCACGCCGTCACGGGTACCCATCCCAGCATGCACCCCATCATCAACGGCTGACAGCAACACGTATACAACTACCTGACCAAAGAGCAGGTCCCTGAAGTTGCTTGCAGAAAGACGTTTCCCCTCACGGTATCATGCTTGCAATCCATAGGCTAACAGGGCCCCTAGTTACCTCTATACCCTATAGATTACATACAGGGGATGAAGGAGACGTTAACACGCCTGCCGACGTGTTAGAAGGCTGATGAAGAGAGAAGGAGAGACAGCGCATCTCTTCGCATTGACGATTTTCATATTCAATTCCTCCCAAGATGAAGTTGTCCTAATTCTGCAATTTTCGCTTATGAACGAATGATTTCATGATGTATTCAGGACTTCATTTCTGTCACTTGCACTCTGTACACTATGAAAACGGCACGTAAACTAAAGAATAACCCGAGATCATACCTGCGTGCTATGATTTCCACCGTCAACCGTTCCGAATTCGAAGTTAATTACACTTCCCCCGGAACCAGTGATAGAGGTGCTTTCAGCAGACTGTCAATGGACTAGATAGTGAGGGGTAAGCGACAGTTAACCAGCTGCCCCCACTTAGCTGTTTATGTCGAGCGGTCTGCGGAGAATCAGACTAAGGTTACTGACCGTATGCATAGATTAAATCTTCATATTGAGAACTCCGTTCGCATTTATATGGGGATGTGTGCATAAGGAATGTAATCAGCTGCCATCAAAGTGAAGAAGACAGCTATGTGTGCTGAGTTAGCCCCTCTGCCGTTTATCTTAGGGTTGGAAGTTCCTTGACAGTTATTCAGGGTTTGTACGAATGAACGTGTATTACTACCGCGTACATTTTATGTGTTCCAGATAAGATTTCGGGGGCGAATCTGATGCGCAGTATTCCCTCAACAAACCTCCCCGGAAAAAATAGGCAGATTGTTGGAGATTTGATGGTTATTCTTCTGGATATTCAGACGAGCACATTCTGAGATAGTAATTGTGCCCGGCGGCTTCACAGAGAGAAATCTCGTTGCATACAAAGGTATAGGTATGCCCGGGCAACACTCCAGAATGTGTTAACTAGAGTGTTCCTACTTTTTTGCAAATAATAGCCTTCTGAATGTTCATTGTTTTCCAGTTGCCCACCTTCGTATTTTATTTTGGCAGGATGAATGATGGATGGGACGAATGCTTGCCAGCACATCCCTCTTGGGAGGCCTTAATGACGGCCGCTAACTTCGTGCAACCCTATGACGTTATAGATGCTCCTAGGTAGTCCGTATGTCATATGTCGTAGACAGTCTGAAAAACATGGATTGCATTTCGGCAAACCTCAATGAGAACCCTTACGAAAGCATCCTTAATGAAATGCCAATTCTAGCGGATCATCAAATATTGGGTTGAAAATCTATCACTCCACTTTCACTGGCAATCATAAAACCACTTGTTGTGAGCCTGCCATAGAGAAAAAAAGAGGATATTAAGCTAAATACAAGCACCCAAGGCCACGTACGCAGCCCTTATAAGCAGATCACGGAAGAAGGAGCTCATCAGCAGTACAACGGGAACTTAAGTTACAGTAAAAATATCCTTCACACAAACAAATTAATAAAGAGTAACGATACATTAATCCTTCCCGCAGAATGTACCTAACCATGGAAGTTCGTTGTCGTTCTCATGAATAAAACAGCTACGACCACCAATATAAACTTATTATTATTCGCATAACAGCAAACTTTGCCACAACTGGTACCAACCGTTTGGTTCGTTTGATTATTTCTTCCCACTAACGGGGTCCTTGCTCCAAGTGATCGAAGCGAATACCGCGTTACTCTCTTGTGTCGTACCTGACTGCACTTTGTGCTGAATCAAATAACCGGGTCGATTTCACTTTCATTCCACTCTCAGGATTGGATACTATCATGACTTTTCAAAAACTCAGCTATCTCGCGGCGCATTTTATCGTGTGGATGTAATCTTGCAGAGTTTAAAGATTATTTACCATCCAGTATGTATCAATATTCCTAGTAAGGGACATAAATTTTCATTCGTGGCAATTGCGACGTGTACTAAAGTGCCTACAGTAGATTGCATATACGGGATCTAATGAACAGATACTTGGAAGGGATTTAAAGTAGTCGGAGCTCTTGGGAAGCAGATCATTGAGTTACGCATGATCTCGGGGAAACCCGCCAGCTAGGGGGAAAATAGAGAGTAACTGCTACTTCGCTCTAGAGCCCTTACAGTACCTTTCCATATTTTGCTCCGTTTGAGCATATATGTTGCTGTATATCACTCTACCCTGAATATTACGTAAAACAGGTAGATATATCTCCTTGCCAACGGAGCGGTAGCTGCAACATAAACCAGTAGCAGGTATATCATACTTAGCATGTAGTACAAGCCAGTCTTGTATACATCGAACCCTGCATTATGATACACGGAACTTCTTACCTTTCAGTGTTAGCGAGCGGACACAATTCCTGATTCCCGCTATCGATCTTCAAAAATGCAAGTGACTTGTCGCAAAACAGTTGCTGCTAGCCAAAAGTAAAGTTATGCATGCTACACTTAGATGGACTACGTGCGCTCAGTTGAGTATGCTCATAAATGTCGGACTTCATCAACAAATATTTCAAAAGTATGAGACTTTAACATTTACGCACATTGACTATACCTCAAGAAATAAAATTCATGCAGATTTAT